CGCTGTAAGAAACCGAGTGTTGCATTTTTGAATTTTTTCAAGACAATTCCAGGAGTTATTTCCATTTTTTAAATTAAATTGTTCTAGAAGCAATCAGATTTCGTTATTCTTCCTCGGTTACGCGGCTTACCATAAAGCAAAGGAGGGATTAAATGCTCTGGAAAGTGCTCGGAAAACCAAGGGACCTCGAAGGGAGCTGACAACTCGGAAATGGTTTTACTGAGTCCGTCCAACCACCCCTATTGGACCAGAAACGACTGCTTCGTCTACACTATCTGAGTCCAGCGGCGAGGAGGAGCTAGATTTGGAAGGTCATTTTTACAGAGAACCTGTGCATCGTCAAACCTTTCAGTTTGATTACCCTTATATCGTCTTGATGAGACAGACTGATCCAAATTCAAGTCGAGATTAGTGCTTCTTGTTAACTTTATACTATTTTGAGGCTCATTTCGTATTCTATTTGGAAGCTTGGGAAATTGTGTTTCAAATTGATAAAGGTTCACGATCTCTTGAAGTTTTTCATTAAATGTAGTTTTTTGGTCTCAACGTTCTAAACTTATTCAAGATAATTCAGTTGTGTTTATATGTGATTCTTGTTTGTTTGTTAATGCAGTCTTGTTTGTTCTTATCGAAGAAATCCACAATTCTTTCAAGTTTTTGTTTTTGTGTTTCAAATGTTTTATTATGAGAGAAGCAATTTACTTGAAAAAAAACTTCAGTTACTCAAACTAAATAGCGGTACATCGAAATAATAAAACAGCTTCTTGCAAATCAAATTATTATCACTATGCTCATCATGTGACCCATTTGAATGAATGTTTTTCTTGAGTTTAAAGAGCTGTACTTTAGTTTGATCTTTTTCAATACTTGATTTAACAAAGAATCAAAAGGTATTTTTTCAGGGTGTTCGGCTTTTTTTGGGAAAATTTGATTCCTTCCTAATCTCGGATTACTTGTTTCGACTAAATTAAGATCATCAAAGCTTTTTCTGAAAACCTAGTTTGCAATGTTGCCTAAAAAAAATAGACTGGAAAAATTTGCTACATTGCGATTGGACAGGCAGTGAAGAATTTGGTGGACGAGAAGCCATTCCTATATTGAAGCTACACTATAGAGTTTGTCGAAAATATGCAATGAAAAAGAAGCCTGGATGTCTCGCTACGAAGTTTGTCTTCAATCCTACAAAAATTTACGGTAAGTATTCAAAATAGATCATTATGAAATCGTAGGTATAACATGAAACATAAAGGTGGAGCTACAATTTTTGCTGCACATGTTTTCAGAGATTTTCATCTTGGATTTCTAGTTCCCATAGGTGATGGAATAACTGATCTGTCAATTATTAGGAAACAAAGTTCTAAAAAGAAAATAGCTGCAATATCTCATGCTTAGCCCTGTTCGTTCTAATAACTCAAACTGAAACCCAAATGCTGAATATGATTTTACGAGTAATAAAGGTGTAGTTCGAAAGGACTTATCGAGTCCTGAAACCCGGACAGGAAAATTTGGTTAAAATGACAAGCATTTCTTCGATGAGAATCATTGCAAATGTACTAGCTGTCTTCAAAATTATGTTAAATCTGAAGTTGTAAGTTCTGATGACGAGTTTGAGGATTGATGAGATAATTGTAAGAAACCTCGAAGTTTTCCGTTCTGAATGTTTTTTTAGCAGCAGTGAACTAGTTTCCGAGAGTACACCAAATAGTATTCTAAAAGTGAAAAGCAGTTTTTTCTACCAAAAGAAGCAATAAACGGAGTCAAAAATGGGAGGAGGTTAGACTTTCGCGGAAACGTTTTGCAATTCAGAAGATATCGATTGATGACGAGCACTCTGCTTCTAGGGAACAATGATACAACAACACTGCCTGCTGATTTAAGTTGAACTAACAATTCCCTTTGTCCCGTAGAAACTTAACAACCTGAGAGTCCCCTGAGTCCTCGTTTTTCCAATTTCGTTTCGGAACTCGACTCGTTTGATGCAGACAAATGTTTCAATGGGGTTAACAGGCCCAATTATTTTTTCGCTCCTTTATATGGAAAGTCTGATGTGTCTGCTGAAAATTCAAAAATTCTTTTGAGAGCTTTTTGCGCTCGACATCACCTCAATGATGCTGCCGCTTCTGATTTCCACTCTGTTGTTATGTCTTTAATTCCTGCTCCAAATGGAATATTACCAGGAAGTCTGTTTGTTTCAACTAGAAAAAAAAACTTCTGCGCAATAATTTAAGATTCAAAAACAGCACTTTGAATTCTTCACTTTGCATTCTCTATTTCAATGCTCAGCTTAAACAAGTCTTGTTAAAAAATTGCAAAATATTCGAAAAATCTTTTCTTGATCGTCTCACTCGTTTTGCGAATTCAGATAAAATTTAGACAAAGCTCCTCCCTTTGACTTTTCTTGTAATGATGGTGAAGTTAATTTAAATTTGTCAACTGATGGTGTAAACGTAAAGGATTCCTCAAATAAGCAAAACATGTGGCCTATACATATTTATGCATTTAAGAATGCACTTAACAACATATGCATTTTTTGAGTTCAATTGAAATCCATCTGCTGAAAGAGACGTCCATTTTCTGGTTTCGAAAGTTGCATTTAATTTTTAGATTTCCCATCGAAATAAAATTTGCACCTTTTGATCCAGTCTTCTCAAATTGGGATCGTTTTATTGATAAATTGCATATCAGAATTTCAAACAGCTTCAGGGGCTATCTTTTTTTGTTTTTCGAAAGTTGAGAATTTTTCAAAAAATAAGTCATTTTTTTCAAAAAAAGTTTTATGTTCACTTGCGTTCATTGACTCTTTTCCAACAGTCTGTTGGCTATGTTTTAATGTTAAATTGTCTGGCATGTTTGCAGAGAGTGAATTTGTATCGAGACATATAAAAATTTAAATGTTAGTAGGCCTAGTTTTTTAAAAACATTTTTGAATTTTTTCTATTTCTGAATTTTTTCAATTTTCAATTTGTTGCATCGCAAGTGGTGTGAAGTTCCGCTTTACATCTGTGTTGATTTTTCACAGGTCCAGATTTAAATTATCCAGACAAAACGCATAAAATTTAAATTTAAAAGGCCTTTTTCATATTGGGTTGATTTTAGACAAAAAGATGAGAAAACTTGCTTACCAGTTCGCGAAAAACGCGTTTTAAATCTCAAGAGTTATGCGTTTTGTCCGGATAATTTATATCAGCACTGCACTCTTGTATAAATTGGTACTCCGTTTTCTTGTGTTTGGATCAAGAGTTTTTATATACCAATCCTTCTATATTCAATTTTGGTTTAAAACCTTATTTGAAACAGTTATTTTATTAATCGAACTGAAATTGTTGCACAGACCCGAATTGTGAACATTGTGAACAAGGACTACTAATGTGACTCGTCAGTGAACATTCTCACTGGAAAACATCATTAATATTTACTGGTTATTTAAAATTTTTCGGCCATTTTCAAATTGAATATATGAACGTCAATTGTTTTCCAGAGCCTAGATTTGAAAATTTCTGAACAGAAATTAGATGGGAAATAAGGTTTTTCTGATTAGAAATAGCCCAGTTTTAGAAAATTTGGACCAGAATTTAGGGATCTACTTAACAATTCCCCCTCCCCCCTTCAAGAAAGGGGGAGATTCTTTAGTAGATACAATAGAGGGGAGATTCTTTAGTAGGTACAATGGGGGAGAGATTCTTATGTAGATCCGAATTTAGATTAGGAAAAGCTTTTTCTGATTAGAAATAGTCTAGATTTAGAAAATTTCTGACCAGAAATTGGATTGGAAATAAAGAAATTATGAAAACCCATACTTTTTTAAACATTTCGCAAAGAATTCCTGACCAGAATTTGAGATCGGAAATGAAGTATTTCATTGCAGAATTAAAAAATTCATAGGTACGGGTAACCAGAAGCTTACATCTCTGAATTTTGACCCCGATTTTTTGCGCACTAGTCCACAAATTGTCTATGAGCTAACGAAATGTCGCGACGCTAGACAGTTCTTTTATTTAGTGACCTTGTGAGTTACATCATGTGAAGCAAAAAAAGTATTCTAAGCGCTGACAGATTTTGCGGTCGATGTCAGTAAGATTTCAAAAGACAGAGTTGTCTCGCGAAAAACGGATGTCTTCAGCCATTCAATCAACTATCCTTTCAAGTTTTGGTCGATTGATGAAAATAAATTCAAATCGAGTTTTTTTTCTTAAAATCCAGCCAAATATTGAATTCATCTTCATATCACATGATATTTTCTGTCAATTAGGAATATAAGTTGATTATATAATCAACTGAGCTTCCAAAACTTATCTAATAGGTGCCGACTTGAACACGAGCCAAAATAGCCCATTTTTTCTTCAATTTGCTGAGAAACTGACCTCCCAACTTTTATTTTACTTAGAATTCAACGCTACATTATACCGTTTTCTCACTAGTATTTACCACTCTTTTTTGCTTTTTCGCCTATTTCGATCACATTCCTCAAAAAAATAACACGAAATTTCGAGATATATTTTTTGTGTTACTTCGAATTTCGGTTACTAAGTCAATGTGATAAGAACATTCTTGGCTAATGGCACAGCAACTGGCTATCTTTGATTTCTATAAGGTTTGCATTCTGGTTTTTTATTGAAGCCATCCAATTTTTACAAAGAAGACAACTTCTTAAAAACCGAGCTTGTTTTTTTCCGAACCTTTGAAAAATGTGGAGCTTTGTATTCCATTGTTTTAGTTTTCCACGCAACCGGTCATCCTTTGAGTATATTTGCACAGTAACCGGTCATCCTTGTTTCTCATCGCTGAAGTTTCTTTTTAAGACTTATGTTGAGCTTGTTTTCGCCACGCTGTTGTTTCTTCTTAGGATAAACACTCCGACTCAATTTCTATGATGTTTTAATTTCTTAATATTTTTTTTAATCGACATAATAATTTGGGTTGAAAGCTGAAATTCTCTTTTGTTTCAATTTTTAACCCCTTTCAAAATTCTTCAACCTATTTAATCCTTAATTTCAACTGTCATTTTTAAATTTAAGTTGAGTTTAGGTCGAATTATTTGTATGGTCAATGATATTTAGGTTCAATACTATGGTATCAATTTTTCATGGCTGCTTGTCCATTGGAATTAATCAAAAATTTCGATACTAATACATTCGAAATGGAAATTCAGCATGCATTCGGGCATTTTGACAGGTTTCAGCAACTAATGTATCGATCGCTAGTTTTAACATTGTATGCTACTGGATGTGCAGTCCCGTTACTTAACACCGAAGTTATTGATCCTTTTTCCGTCATTCGTGAAACTGCAGTCAATCTTCCACGCCTATTGTTCACGTTTGGTTTATTCTCATGGGTCAAAGTATTTGTTGAGTTTTGGCTAACTACTGAGGGCGATCCCATTAGAATAACGCCATTGCACACTGTATGACTATTGCGCTGTTGGTTCAGTCTATTATTGCTCTGTTTAAGTGACGAATGGAAACTGTTGTTGGTAACCGAGCTCTGTAAACTGTTTTCGGCTGTATTGGGACTCGTAACGTTTCCGAGCTGCTTTCGCCTCGCGCTTGACGCATCCCCGATGGTCGAGGCAGAAAGAACAGACGAGCATCTTTCGTTTCCGAATGATTCGTTATTTTCCGTGGAGCCGAGAGGCGACGAATGGGGAGTGTTGGGCATGTCGTGTTCGGTTGCCGAGGAGCGAGCTTCGCTTTTAGTACAACTCGCGTGTTCGTTGTATGGTTGCAGACACAAAAATACAGGCGAGATCTCGTTCACTTCAGTTGTAGTCATTCCGATTGCATCATACTCGTGAATGGAGTCATTTCTTTTCAAGCAGCTCCTAAAACAATAATAGCATAGCAAAATAATCCCTACCTGTGTACGATTACACCTGCATTACATTCCGAAGCTTTGTCGTCCTTGAAAATCAACGTAACTGAAAATTTGGTACTACTATGATAGAGTGGTCCCTTGAAAATAACCAGGTCCCTTGAGAATAAGACACCTAGAGCTCTGAAATCGTTGAATAATTATGAGTTCGCCATTCAGAAAAATGTCGCAGTCTATATTCAAATAAATTTTGTGTTTCGTTTTCCCGTAATCTCCCCTAGCCATTTAAGGTGAAAAATTCAAAAAAAGTCGTCAAAATTGAGTTTTGATGATCAATAAGCTCACCCAATTATGGTTGTTAAATAAGGTGATGCGAGCATATTTCTTGATATAAAAGTTATAGTTACTTAAACTTTCAATCTGAAAAATTATTGACTCAACATATTCCGCAAGACTTTTGAAATGAATAATTTATACAAAATAGATATCAAATTATTACATGCGAAATTCATGCTGGACCCGTCTATCATAGTTGCTTTTTCGCGGGACCATTCTATCATAGTAGTAACGAAACTTTTTTGATGCTATATCGATACTTTATGCTCAGAAAACTGATTTTAACAAGCACAAAAAAATCACTTGTCAGATGTCATTCTAAATATAAAACTGGAGGCCAGCTAAAGCTGAAATACCTGTTTGATAATTTTTGAATTTTTTTTCAACTGATGCGTAAAGTAAAAGGAAAAATTCAAAAACTGGGCTTCACCCAGAACCTCAGTTGGTTCTCTAATGAAATAACTTGCAGCGAATTTTCTTGAGTTCGATTTGGCAGGACAACCTTCGAGAAAATCAAGAAGTTTCAAAAAACTGTCACAAAATCAAAATTTGAACTTTCGAGAGCCATGAATTTTTGTGAAAAAATAAAATGGAAGGAACGGTATATGCAGGCGAAACTCCCACAACCAGTTCTACCCATTGAAACCGAAACCTCAGATTTGGGAGGGTAGTTTCCGAGAAAAGTCAAAAGTTTCAAAAAAAGGTAAAAAAATCGACTTTTCCGTGGGCCATAACTTTTTGTGCATTTTGGATTCACCGCTTATCCACGGGAGTTTCGCGCAGCCTTTTCTATCCGTTGAACCCAAGATCCCAGAATTGGGAGGGTAGTTTTCGAGAAAAGTCTAAAAGTTTCAAAAAAGGTCAAATAATCGAAATTTCGACTTTTCCGAGGGTAATTATTTTTTGTGTATATGAGCTTCTTATAACCCGACTTTCGATTGAAATTGAAATTTCAGATTTGGGAGCGTAGTTTTGATAGAAGTCAAAAAGTTTCAAAAAACGAAAGTTTGACTTTTCTGAGGGCCATAACTTTGTGTAGAAAAAAATTGGTCGTAGCCGCTTATGCAGGGGAGCTTCCCACAACCTGTTCTACCCGTTGAACCCAAAATCTCAGATTTGAGAGGTTAGTTTTCGAGAATATGTAAAAAATCCAAAAAATTGGGTCAAAATTCCCCCCCCCCACACACTTTTTCGAAGGCTGTAGGTTATGCAAGCACACAGGGGAGTGGGCGGACTTTCCATTGGTAATTTTTTTTTGAAAATCTTAAGAGTAGTTTTCGAGAAAAACTAAATTTTTGAAAAAAATGAAAAACTTTTCCAAATAACAAAAATGATTATAAAAAAACCAATCACATACATTTTCATTATACCTGTTTTAATCAAACAGGAACTTTTATCCATCTTTTAACCAATGGCTTCATATAAGCAAACAGCGATAAATGCTTTTAAAAAAAACAATTGCCAGTTGTGCTTTAATTAAAGGCCTCGAAATACCTTACTGAGTCTTAGGACGAAAAACAAAACAAGTTTTTACCTTGAAAGCGGTCGAGTTAGTGTCTTGGGAAGCTTTCCTTTGAAGAAGATGGACACACGCATTATCAGCAAAACCACAACGAGCAGTAGAAGGGCACCGATAACAGGATAAAATGAAGTCACGTACTTTGAGGAGATGAGGGTGGAAAAGGGCAGGGAAATGACTATAAATAAACAAAAATCAGCAAAATCAACAATGTGCAGTAAGCAGTGATGTCAGACCAACAATTAAGTCTGATTCAATTGAACAATAGAGCCCTAATGAGGTAGAGCCTTGCGAACACCTATGTATTGAACATTTTTTTTACTATGTAAACGTGAAGTAGTAATGCAATTTTAAAAATGCCAATACATCTTTATGTTTTCAAAAAGCAAACTATTTCTTCTTCAAACACGGAATGAATTATTCTTGGACCTCTGATTAGGAGGAATCAAATGTAAGATAATTATGATTGATTACATTATAACGCATGTTTTATTGATGGAAAAAGATACCTGGAACAAGCATAAAAAATGTTTTACGGCACATAAGTCTGGCTTATCGAGTTCAATCAATCTTTTTTGGCAATTTATCGATTTGAGAGTAACGTTTGATATTAACAAAGATAATGCAAGATTACAAAAAGGCTTCGGGGTAGAGCTTGATTTACCAAAATTGACCAATTTACTATATATGCTTACATAAGGTTTAAGTACAATATCGTGTCTTAAGGATGTTGATAAAAGACAACAAGACTTACTTGCATATTTTTGTTTCCTCTCATCTTCATTTTGTTCTACAGCCTCAATCAACCCGAATTCGTTGAGCGCAAAACTGGAATAGTTGAAGAGATCAGCTAAAATATTAAAAACAACAAGTTAATTAAGGTTCCAAATTTCCTTCAAGAAACTTGAACTGGTTCAGCCATCAACATTGGAGCAATGCTCTGCTCTATAGGAATAGGTACGTTGAACGTGAAACTGGAGGAAGAAATGGGAAAATGTACAAACCCAAGTGGGGGGAGAGGTACTTCACTAGCTCCTGGGGGAAGGGTGGCGGTTTAAGAGGGCGTCTGCAGAATTCGGAGCAGCATTCATGTGCCATGTCAACTGATCTGCTAGTATTGCACTGTTCTTTGCGTTTCGTAAGCACCAACGAGAGGCTGCACTTAATCTGAAGAATTAAACGTGGGATATTCAATAAACCTCCATATCTACAAACCACCATATTACATGTTACTATCTTACTACATCATAATCACGTAGCAATTGCATAACAACAGTGACAATCTGTTGCCATTTTGCATAATGATAATAAATTTTGCCTAGTTGGAATGAAAATGTTGTTTTCGGTTTGTTGGCTTACCACCAATTAAAGATAACCTAAGCTGAAGCTGAATACATAACCATATCAAATGAACTTGATTTTGAAACCAATTCAAGAAATTCAATTGCAACCAAAAATTGAAACCAGCAGTAAGAAGCCGATAACTCTTAATAAAATACCTGTGTATAAAAAATGTCAATAACTATTTGAGCGTTAAAACATTATGAAACTCAAACAAGATACCTCCTCGAAACACACGCACATAGAAAACTTTTTCAAAGTGGGTTAATTACGCCGACATATTCTAAGTACGAATGAACCTATTCTGCGAAACAACCTTTTTTTTCAGCCAAGATACAAAAACAAAGATTTAAAATCTGTTTAGAACAATTCCACTAGAAATGCAAACATGCTCAAAATATGTTTCTTGATCGACAACGTAACAGAGGTATTGAAGCCCTGACTAAAAAGGGGAGTACAGAGCAGACAGAATGATTCAGTAATTTTGCTAAGCAGAGGTGAAGCGGAGTTTCACACCACTTGCTATACAGCGAAAACATAGCATTGCAAGCTAGCAGACAGTAAATGAAAGAAATCCACTACACTGTGTGAAAAAATAATGAGAAAAATCAAAAAAACTGAACTAGTGATTTTTTTCTGTGGCTTCCCGAATGATGGAGCGTAAAGTTTTTACGGCAACACTTTCGGGAGTTTGCCCAATTCTTTTCAGTTGTCGACTCCAGACAAAATTTTGATGTTCGATTTGAGGAAAACAAATCTAAAAGCCCACTCACCGGCGTTAAATAAGTTTTCAAAAACATTTATTGAGCGGCAACTACGCAGACAAAAATTGGGCTAATTCACCAAAAGACAAAAAAAGATTAAAACTTATTTTCCAATTCAAACGGCAAAAAATTAGGCCAATAAGCCGATAAAACAAAAGGCCAATTGGTGGGGCCAAATAAATTTACAAAAATCAGATTTAGTAAAAAAAAATACACGAACATACTATAAACACTTTCAATTACAATAAAAAATATTTAAAGCCACAATAAATCTGTGAATTGGCAACTTATCCGACAAAACATAAGCAGACAAGCAATAGGCCAAAAAAAATTTGGAAACTGAATATTTACCCAGACAGGGATAATTTGACCTGCCTCAGATAAAGACTGCTTAAACTTTCTTTTAGTTTGGCTATAGGAACGCATCTAATCTCCGCGTAATTACAAATGAAAAGGCCGAGAACAAAAAACCCAGCTGCACTTGTGAAATACAAGCAAAAAATTGGTAATTAGCCGATTCAAATAATGATAGTTCACGGATCGCGGGATTTGAAAGTAACAATGGCAAAAACATGATATAAAAACTCTTTGTACAAATCTTAAAAAAAAGAAACCTTGAACACAAGGTGTGACCCAAACTCATTGCCACGAAAAAGGTTGCCAATCAATTTTCAAAAAGTTCGCTGACCTTTTTGGTGCGAAAAACGAGCTTCTAATCCGACCCCAAATCTTTCAAAAAATGCGGAAATGCACTTCTGACGTTGTTGGATAGCGTTGATCAAAATTTGGAAGTCTTGTTCGGCCAATATTGGTAGTCGTGAAATAGAACCAAAAAAGGTAGATAAAAACGCACGCTGCTTAAATATTTCATAATGGATAGACAAACTGTGGACTCGTGATATAACTCAAGCATCGATTGCACAATAAAACCAACAAGAAGCTCGTATCAGGGCAAAACGCTTTGAGGTACAAGGAATCTTTTTTTAAATCTAAACACTGCTATACACTTATCCGACAACAGTTAGCAAAAACGTACCAATATGGTACACAGAGTACCAGAGTCTCCGAAAAGCAAAAAAAAACGCCAAAAAGTAACTTTAAAAGAGCCAAGAAACAGAAAAAAGGCGAGAAAAAATGAAAAAAAAGCAAGGAGTTGTGAAAATTAAGTGACCTCAACTCGAATCGAACTTCAGTCCTCGGACATCCAATTTTTAAAAAATCAATTTTCCTACAAAATTGCCCCACTGAAACTTACTTAACCAAAACACTGGTCACTCATAAATTGCAGAATACATACGTTAAAACTGCCAATACTATGCAACAAAAGTGTCCGTTTGTGTAGAAGTTCAAAAAATCTAAAGATCAAATTTCAAAAAGATTTGTTTTCAGAAAATTTTTGAAAACATTCCCCCACACCCTATGTAAACAACAAAAAGATATAACCCCAGACGAATCAATAGAACAAATTACATCGCGCGTTGATTGTCTCAAATTAGCAATTTTCGAACAACCACTACTAATTCATAGGGAGAACTCGCGCGAAAAAAATGTAACTTTGTTCACAACTTGCGCACAGAGGTGAAGCTGAGCTTCTCATCACTTGCGATACAACACAAACAAAAAAGCCGCTAAGTCAGAAAAACAAATTTAAAAAAATTCGAAAATATCAAAAAAAAAACTAGATCTATCAAAATATAAGGCTAATTCCCAAGCAAAAAAAACATGCCCAGACAATGGAATGAAAAATAAGCATCGGAAGAAAATTTGACAAACGTCAAAATACCCGGAAAAAAAACCTTGACACAAACCCTGTAAGCCGAAAAAAAATCAAAACGATTTAAATTAGCAAGTCCCCCTCATCCTCATAACACAGACACGCACATGCACATCTTTTTCGATCATCGGAAGACACCATATGGTCATTAAACCGATATAGTATCGGTCAAAACCTATCGAGCCGAAAGAAAAGGAAAGAAAAAAAAACAAAAAACCGAAAAAAATTGTTGCCATGAACTAAAACTTCTATTATGATTTTTAGCATTTTGTGCGATTCAGAGATGAGCATAAAAATTTTGTTTTCCTTGAAACGAATCGAAATTAGGTCACTAAGCCGATAAAAACTCGGCCCAAGTAATTTGTAGAGAATAAAATTTCTAAGCGAAAAAGAGACAAGGTTTGTAAAATTACAAACATCAGAGGTAAATCAGATCTCAACTTTCGAATTTCAAAGAAAAAAAAAGATGCCACTAACAAGAAATCGTTCACTTTTTTCGCGCCATTTCTTACACGTCCGTATTTTGAGAGTGCTAATTATGTAACTAGAGAGTGCTAATTAGCGGATGAAATTCAATTGAACTCAAAAAGTGCATATATACCTAAGTGCATTCATACGTATGAATGCACATCTGTAATTATTAGAGCGTTCTAAGACTTAACTGAAAAAAAAAAATCACCAAGACCTATGTAAGCGCCTTCACTGCATTCATTAGTCTTAAAAAACCTTTAAAAAGCAACAATTTTATAAAATGACGACCAAGCCGACAAACCATAAGCAGACAAATAATGATCCGACAATTTTTTGTGAAACGGAATATTTCCCGTTTTAAAAAAAAAACTGGTCCTGTCAGATTTGAACCCACGACCTTTGACGTCTCAGGCATATTCGTTACCTCCAGACCAAGCGTGCAAGAGACAAAGAAACTTGAATTAACTCAGAACTTAACCTAAATTTAACATTTCTGATTTTGACCATTGTGTCTTAAGTTATTTACGGGTAAAAAAGTCTAGTACCCGATTGCAATACCCTTGCTTAACGCAAGGGTAAAAACTATCTTGAAATTACATTTCTGGCTCTTTCTTTTTAAAGTATAGTTGAATGAATTGATAAACTGATAAAATTATCAAAGCAAAAATTTTTATTACCAACTAACTATGTAGAGTACAAAGTGATACATTTTGAGTCTGAGAACGCATTAACCAGCTCAAATTGCAATTCAATTTGGAATGATTTAAACTGCTGTTTACGCTTTCATAGCAAGAAATATCGTGAGTTAGTTATCCCAAAATGGCCAAATTGGTATACTTCAAATCCTCATAAATCGACAAGAAATGATCATTGGTTAAAATGTCTTTTCAAATTTATGCTCAGTCCGTCAATATATTCAGTTGGTAACAGCTTTATTCAAACCTGGATAGTTAACATGTCGAAATTTTATGAAAAAAAACTACCGCGCACAAATATTCCATTTTTTTGAAAGTCGTCACAATAAACTCAAATGAGGTCATCAAAAATCCAAATTTTCTTTTGAATACCGTGACCTTGGAAAGCTGAAACTTCGAATTAATTCTTTGTGCTCAACAAATTGAATGTTTCTTCTAATTAAAACTACTAAGCAAAGATTAAATTATTAATTATGGTATCAAGTTTAGAAGTAAGAAACTAAGAATGTCTATTTGCATGTCAGCGAATATTCTTTATTTCAAAAATAAGATTAGGTGAAATGTACACACTTATGGATCTAATCGCACACGCATCCTAACATGACAAATAAAAAAGACTGCTTTTAACGTCCAATACAACATATCGACAACACTTCAGCCCAAGATAGCACGAAGAGCAGTCTGAAAATGGCTTTTTCAAGAACATTTTTTAATCGACGCTTAAAATCGAAATCAGTAGACTTCAGACAAATTGGACCCCAAATATAATAACTTAACATAGTCGTGAAATTTGTCAAAATAGCCAAAAGCATCGGTCAAATGTAGGCCATATAAGCATACTACATAAGCGAACACTGTTTCTTGCTTTTCGGAGTGGGTTTCAAACTTTCGTTTGTCGAAGAATTGGGAACTCGTGGTAATCTAGGGTCCCGTTTGCTTTTCGAGGGCTCATTGCTGCCATTCTTAGCGTGGTGTTGCTGCTGATATGGGCGTCTAGGGGAGTCTGCTGTGTTATCCTTTGTTTTGTGAGATTGAGGGGAGGATTTTGTGTCGTGTATTTTGGAATTCAATTCTGAATGAGGATTGTTTGTATGCTGGGATCCCCCTCCTGCGACGTGCATTAAATCTTCTGTTTCCATTTTGCGGTGCCCGACTTCGCTATCTGAAATAGTCAGTAAAATTTTTTGACAGCCAATAAGCGTTCTGGCGCTTCATGGTTATACGTGAACTATCAAGGCTTTTTCAAATCTATACTTGAGTCAGAAGATAATTCAATGAATCACTTGAAATTTTTTGAACAAGTCTTGAGAACTTTCATAGCCGGTTGCTGTGCGATAAGCACTGAAATTTGTGACCATAGTTAATTCCTACCAACACGTTGAAAAGAACGAAAACCCTAATCATTCAAGCGCTCTTTTAAGTTAAATTTATTTCTGATAAAAAATGGTTCCAAACTACAGCAGTCGTTTAATCGCCGACCAAGATAAGTCAAAACACCACAAAAAGTTAAACCATTTTTCTAGCTTTTCATAAATCGAATCCATTTTTTTACTCGCTTCCATAACTTTTAAATTCAACAAGATATGTCACTCAAACCGTAGTCAAACTGTATATAGAATTGGAGAAATTGAAAACAAAGTTGACATGAAAAAAATCCGTTAAACTGTTTCGGAAAAGCCTTGAAATCAAAAAAAAATATATATATGTCTTACCGGCCAAATTGAATATTTTTTCTAAGGAACTAATGAAATCCAGTCCTCCATGGCTGGTACTGTGCTGTCTGGGCCCACTGTCAAAATAGTTGAAAGAGGCGGCCGAGGTGTTGTAAGGGAGAGGTAGTGTGTTTTTATGGGATGTCAGGGTCCCGCTCCTTGTCTGTCTGCGGGAGCTGACGAAGTCCACCGAGTTGCAGCGACTGTAGGGTAAATCATGTGGCACTGAGTTGGGCATGTACACCCGTTCTGGTGTAATGCAGTGCTTTTGCACAACCCATCTAAACAAAACTTTGATATCTTGAAATCATTTTTTCATCGTATAACTTCTATCTAATTTTCTATCCTAAAACTTTGATCTGACAGAGGACGAATCAACTTTGCGGAACTTAATGCACAGAAGGTTGATAAAAAACGGATTTGAGTGTAATGGCGTTGGATTTATTTGGACAAAAATCGCGTTTTTGATTAAGGGGGTTTCAAAAATATCAGGGATCCCACATCTTTAGATCCATTCTGTCTGATTAACATAGTGCCAAAATCTAGAAGAAAATTGCTTTGCAAATCTAAATGGGCATGGAATTAATTCAGCCTGTAATTGATTGCTTTGAAAATACAGTTTTTTCATTTGGAGCTCTTAAAAACTGCCTATTTTTCATTGGGCAGAATTTTAAATATAGAAATTTATGTGACGTCCCTTCAGAATGTTCCGACCATAGTCTTTAAAAAACTAAAAGCAAAAAGTTTTTTTTAATTAGTGTAGTTGAAATCCATGATTTAACGCATATTCGATAGTCATTAGTAAAGCAGGCAAAGAGATCAACATATCTTGAAGAAAAATGACTAGAAAAACAAAAATATATATTAAAAACCTTAAAAAATGCACAGACATTTTTGATTCCCAAAACGGCATTAAAAAATCTCCAAAAACTAATTTTACTCGAGTAAAATTGAAGTTAAGCATAAATACGCTTTCGTAAACAGCCTGAAATAACTATAAAGAAGCGTGCTCGCTCGCTTTACTCGCTCAAAATAAGACGAAAATTCAAAACTTCAAACCGGTTTTTCTCGACACAGAAATTTTTTTTGAATTTTTAAAATGTGTTCCGAATTAGGACTGAAAGTGCTTCAATATGATATATCATTCATTCTAGTCCGATGATTATTTGCGGTAGCTGATTTTACTTGGAAAACAAAAAAAGAAAACAAAAGAAAAAAATTACAACACACCTTAATACAAAGTTCCTCCCCATTTTCATGTTCGGAATAATAATGCATAGTTTGAAGCTGTATTTGCTTCACTACAACTATAAGTTTGCGATAAGTCTGTGTAATCAATTTGCGATGAGTCTGATAAATCAAGTGAGTAAATGGACGAAAAACATGCTATGCAACAAATTTTTACTTAAACCAAGCGCAACGAAATTCTCGGGTACTTTCCGAGCATTTCAAGCATGATTTTTTTCTTTCATCGACAAAAAAGTAGACAGAGGCGAAGTTTCACTTCGCATACACAAGCAAAAATATGACCAATAATGCTACTGGGAAAAACTGAATGAGTAAAATTTTGAGTCTACAAAACTTCTCAAGTGACGCACGGCAATTATGAGTCTACATAATTGCTAAGTGACACAAGCCAATTATGACGCATTAGCAGTACATTCAATTTGAAAAAAAAAAATTTACCAACTAACATGCCTCAATTTATAGAGTGGACTCATTTTAACTAGCATACGAAAAAGTTCATTAAAAACATACGACCCTGCCCAGGTTCGAACCTTTTTACTTTGTTGCGGGTCTCCTTCCCTACCTCTACGCTACAGATCCATGATACCTTGAAGCTTAAGTGTTATTTGTAAATATAATAGTCTGCGTTAAAATCCTTACCATTGGCTGTATTTAATAGCTGGTTATTGATCAAAATGAACACTTTCAAAATAAACACATTTTGTCGCCACATTATTTGCGTCGCAACAATATTTGCGACTTAGATTGGAAAAAAAGAGATTTCATGCTATAACACAAGCTTTGCATGTGTAATCACGCAGTCCAATTGTAGTAAAAATACATTATGACTAAAAATATATTAAGAAAAAAATTTCCTCTTTCAACAAAAACTTGCCAAGGAATGGGAGCAACCTTACAATTACGCAAGGGCTATATGAACAACATTCGCGAAATTCCTTGCAATGACTCACCTGTGTGTTTTGACTTGGGCCACTCCAAATCTGTCACGTGGATTCTTCTCCAACATGAACTTGAGCAGACTCTGCAGCTGAGGAGACAAGTCCACAGGCACGTGTACTGACTGTTTGGAGATGTTGTCCAACAAAAGGTAGAGGTTTTGACCTTCGAACGGGTAGGACCCAGTCACTATGTTGTAGCTGAAATATAACGAACAATTAATATGTTCTCTAGGATTTCGTTACTTGGCGTAACGTGGATACTAAGTCAAGATTTTATACAGATGACAATTTCAGAGGTCCTGGAAACCCTAACTTGGCCTTGGAACATAAGAATTTCATGCGAAAATTCTACTGGCCATCTGATGTCTCGCAAGCTGTTGCTATCCGACTCGCTTACTTTTGATTATATTCACTTATATTGTACAGCCACTTTTGAAAAGGTGTATATCAAGAATCAAGTATTATTTTATTGCAAGCTTTTAATGAATGACTCATTTCATCGTTTGGTTTAATGATTGAACTGATTGCCATCTAAAAAAAAGGCAGCCAAAGTTAAGTTAAAATATCAATGTATGGACTTACAGTGTTATGCCTGCACACCATACATCTAGTTTGAATCCACAAAACGATGCCTTCCCAGCTGCCACTTCAGGGGGTTGGAACATAGGAGTGCCGGCACTACTTTTGATGGTTGCATCGCTCGCATACAAACTCAGTTCCTAAAGCACACAGTTTATTAGCCATTCATTGTCAAATCAAATCTAATTAGCTCACAATAAAATAGATTTTGAGCTGTGAGCATTTGATCTTCTCCAGTTGAAATTACTTTACTGGCGGCTTAATGGAATTTGTAATTTTAGCTGTTATCTCATAACTCTTTAAGCTTTCAAAAAGTTCCATCATAATCAGCATCAAATAGTTTTACACTGTAATCCTGAATTCGATGATTGAGTTTTCAGTTTCTGTCCTGATCTTTTTTTTAAACTTGGCAAAAAATAACAAATACGAGCACTTACTTCTGCAACTCCGAAGTCACTTATTTTGAGCGTTTCGTTTGGAGACAGAAGCAGGTTCTGCGGCTTGATATCCTTGTGAATGACCCGCTGACTATGTAAGTATTCAATGCCATCGATCAGGTCGCAGAAGTACCTTAAGCGAAAACGAAGTAGTTGTAAAGCTATTCAATAAACAGTAAGCAAATTATTCCAATAAGAATGAACAAAAATTAAAAATTTCTTCCGCATTCGAAGTTTTTATTGCTCACATTATCCCGAGCACTCCAAATAAACGTAAAAACTACTAGTATACTAGAGATAATTTGCTTGCGACGATAAATTAATGGCTATAGTTTAATGAGCCGACGAGACCATCAAAATTTTCAATGGACGTCAAAAAAAATTTACACTTAAAACGAATTATCTCTGATTTTTAAATGATAGCTTTCCAAAAAGAGCGCCTGCAAAACGTCGTTTTCTGTAAGTTTGGCCGGGCGGAACTCAAAAATCAAGACACGAGGTCCAGGAAAAAAAACTTCCGTGTAAAACACTTCGCCTAAATTAAATTAATAAATTTCTAAATTCGCCCCGGTCTAGTTCAAAAAAATTAGTGATTCAATTTGCATTAATATTCCATTTGCAATTAAACCTACTTGTGCGCTTGCCAGGTGGGCAATTTCTTATCAGGTGCATTTTCTAGCAGATCGTACAAGCCGCAGACACAATACTCCATTAATAGGTACAGTTTCTCTGGCTTCTTGTAAGTGGATGTAGCACCAACATATTGAGTAGTCGGGTGGTTGGCAGGGTTGTCGGCATTCTGGCTCTCTCCTTCGCCTTCTGGCGAAGTAATCATCTCGGCCTCTCGATGGAGCAGCTGGTACACAGCTACTACATTCTTGTGACTCAATTTTCGCATTATTCGGAACTCGCTAAAACATTAAAACATGGAAAGATCAAATAGCGTTAGCAAGTTGAGATGTTTTAATGAACACAATCAACGTATTCAAATTTTCATAGTTTTTGTCTCTTTTTCCTTCCCCCTGCACATGCGAAATTTTTCAAGTAATCTTTTGTTCACATATTTCGATTGTTACAAAATTTGGTAAGCGGACATCAGGCCATGACAAATGTATTTTGTCTTCATACTTAACCAACCGTTAGACCAGAAAATTGATGCTTATGTGAGGTTGTGGGAGGGGAGGAAAAAGAGACTTATTTTTATGCTGAGTTCAGTATCATTTCTGTTTTCTTTTCAAGTTTTAGTGAAAATTTATTCAAAAAGTAAACCTTCAAAATTAATCAGAAATAATTTAGACTTATGCTTCAAGTGATGAGCAAAAAGACGCTTGCCATCGTAATACTTTTTCAAAACTATAGCTAATCCCTGATAAAAAAAACGTAACATAGCAGCGTACTTCAGTGCATTCTGTTCTCCATTTGGTATTTTCTTCAGCTTCTGTTTGTTCATGATCTTCACTGCCAACTTCTGCAATGTGAAAGTATCCAACACCTGCTTCACTTTCCCATACGATCCTTGGCCCAGTTGGGATCCGAGAAGGTACCTCTCATTGATGAACTTCGGGGGTTTATCTCGCCCATGCTCCACGAAGAGGTTGTCCAATGACTCGACCTGCTGGAAAATGAAGTCACTCCCACCTTCGTTATCTTGCCTCGTGACGTCATCATCATCTGTTTCTGGGATCGTATCTATGTCCGACAAAAAGGCGTCGGGGTTATGGGGAGAGTTCATGTTAACGGGACAGGAAAACTCCATTGGTTCTTGTTCCATCATAGCTCGATGAAATAACTAAATTTATCCAAGTAATAAAAGTGAACTTGCCACAAATGACCAGCCTAAAAGTTCAATAAATTAACAAGCAGTATAAGAACATGAATAATTAAACTAAATGGGGATATAAGGGAACACATTTGATACCGGCGTTTCATACAACGTCCTTTTGCAATAAATAAATAAACTAAAAGAAAACAAGGTTATAACAAATGTTGCTGATGTGAATATCGGTTATTTGGCTAGTAAGTAACACAACTGAGGTACATCAAATGTTCAACATGGAAACAAAATAAAATATAAATAGAGTGGTAACTTCCGACCATTGCAACGAGAAGCAGCCATAAGTAGCTTCCTCTTAAGCCTTGATAGGCGATTACATTACGTCTGAAAATTGACCAAATTGAATGAAACCAGGTGATGTGATTAGAGATGCCATTTGAAGCCACAAATCACTGGCAGAAATCCAACCCTAATTGTCTTCTTTAACCGTTTCAAAGTTAAACCAGATTGTAGCAACTCGGGATCAAATATAAAGACGCTATCTAAATATTGATGCTTACTAATTACGCAGAGGCCACAAATATGATTAAAACGCTTCAAAGCATGCCCACTCCTAGCTTTAAAAAAGAAAACAACTAATAAACGTTTGAGACATACGTAATCGAAGAAACTATTAAATATATCGATGAGAAGAACTTTCAAATAAGCTATAAGTGCTCTTAAAATTTCAAATGAACATTGAAAATGGACGCTCGGCCACGCAAAATTCGAAGTTCTCTTCGACCAAATAATCAAACTTACGTTAGATATTTTCAATTTGTACACCAATAGTTACATGTTCCAATAAAAGCATGAACAGATTCTCATTTAACATATCGACTACTACAACAATAAATAATTGATACTTTGCAAATCAATGGTATCTCATGTCAAACTCCGTTCCCATAGCAAGAATCAATCAATATCTATCAAGCCCGAAATTTAGGATCTCCTTAACAATAACCATTATCGTAGAACGTTGATTTTATCATTGCTAGTACCAATGGGTCAGGGATTGTTAAGTCGATCTTAAATGTCTCTCAAGACATCTAAGTCAGCGAATGCCCTCATGCGCGAATAACCGAAAGTGCAAAAACTTCGTCAACCAATCAGAGCTCAGTTTTCACAAATAAGCGATAAAAATTCAGTTTTGTACCGGTAAAAGTGCGTTGATTGGTTGAGAAATTTCGCGCATTCGGTCCTTTGCGCATACCCCACATCTAAGCCTAGTTAACTAACTACATCATTGCCATTTGTTTTTGCAGTTTTTCAGCGTTGACTGTACCCTGGATTTCCTTGAAACCAGGGTTGAAAACAGAGTATGCACTCATTCGATTCCTTGGATCAGTCTGTGAAGTCCCTTTGCAGTATATAAGATACAAACAAACAACTAAACAGAATGGCAAAAGCAGATGCGCGCTGTAAAAAAGGCCAGCCAGCCCTATCCATATTAGAATATTCGAAACTTTAAACCATTTAGTTGGTTGTGAAAGATTGCCTTCATTGCTAGTACCAGTCGAAACAGAGGTAAGATTCAGCGTGTCCTCTTGGTATTTTAGATTGTTTTCACGATGTTCTTGTAATTTATGGCGAATGTTTTGCATCAATACATAAATCTAAAAATAATTGTTTGTCTCGGAACAACTACAACTGTTTATACTGCTTTGATGCAAATCAACAACTCAAAGTACAAAATGAACTAAGCAAACTCGATCCCGGTACAGTTAACTGAACTTGCTAGTTATAAAATTCACTAATGGATTGCAGGAAAAAAGATGATCAAACATTTACCAACGCTTATTAAGAAAAGTGAAGCATGAAGAACCAGAGACTGACGTTTCAAAAAGAAAAAAGATCACCCGTAGCTAGAAAGTTGAATCAACAGGTTACGACTAGCGACTTTCAGAAAATCTCTGAAGCAATTGTGGGCAAAAACTTGATTTCCTGAGATAGTTTCTCAAATATCTGAAAAATAGCATGATCACTAAATCACTTTTGCTTCTAGAGGGTGTCATCAGTGGTTCTTTGTTTGAAACGGTGAACAAGTGTACAAAAATTGGTAAGTTTTTCATTCAAATCGTCATCTGCTTTTCTTTTATCAAAAAATTATATTCTTTCAAGTAATTTAGGTCAGCGTCGTGAGGGCGAATGCCTGTTAATAGTCGAGGCTACTAGCTTCAATTGACATTTAAAATTTCCTGCAAATAACTGGATGCCAAATTGATATGAGACATGTAATTCTACTGGAATTAAAATTATACTAGCAGGGCCCTCTGCAGCTAAAGCTGCATGAAAAAGAAAACGTTCAATTGACAAAAATAGATTGGTTGGATCATGTTTAGCTGATACCAAATAACTTGATAACACATTTGTTATAAAACATGTGATTATACTGAATTAAAATTACCCATAACACGCTCCATGCAGCTAACACTGCATGAAAAATACAACGTTTATGTTTAACAGAAACATAGGTTGGTTGGATGGCTCTTTCGCTGGTTGTAAGGATGGATCAATAAATGTTTGAATGATTGGCTGGATGGATGAAAGGACGAATTGAAGACAGGATAGATAGCTAGTTGGACGCAAGGATGACTAGCCGGCTAGCTAGATGGATCGTTGGAAGAATATTTGGCTTGAGTGAGGGCTGCATCGAAGAATGACTGGTTGGATGTTCGGATGGCTGAATTGTTGAGATGGATGGATGCATGGTTCGTCGAAAGGCTAAATGGATTGATTGCTGGATACATGAGTGGCTGTATGGCTAGATGGATGGACGACTAATTAGTTGAAATGCTATATGGATTGATGGCTGGAAATATTGATGGCTGGGTGGATAGCTAGATTAAAGGAAGGCTGGCTGAATAGATGTCAGTATGTATAGATGGCGGGATTGAGAGACGACCGAATGAAAGGATAGCCAGTTAATGGCTTGATGAATGGATGGATGGATGGACTGATGATTAGATTGACGGATAGCTAGATAAATGGATCGCTTGAGAGATGACTAGTTGTACAGATGTGTAGATCGACTATGGACGGATGCACGACTGATGTTATGCATGATTGATAGATTGATGGATACGAGACGGATGGATATCTACAAAGAGATGGCTAGATCAATGATGAAAGGATAGGATGTTTGGCTGGATGTGTAGACAGACGGCAAGATGATTGATGGATGGCTGAAATGGGTGGATCGTTGGATGACTGAATAGATGATAGGAATGATGGAAGTCTATAGTGATAGATGGAAAGTTGGTTGACTGGATTGACGGAAGGCAGGATGGATGAATGGCTAGACCGATGAATATCTAAATGAATGGATTGCTGGTTGGATGGACGAATGGCAACATGAAGGGATAGCTGGTTGGATGGATCAATCGATGGGTAGATTGATGGTGGCTGGATGAACGTATGGTGGGACGAGACGGCTGAATCGATGGAAGGCCAGGTGAATAGATGGCTTGTTGGATAGATGGACGTCTGGTTGGATGGATTGACGGCCAGACGGATGAATAGCTGAAATGGGGATCGCTTGAATAATAAATTCCTTGATGGTTCGATGGCTGACTGCATGAATCGCTCTGGAGAAATGGCTAGTTGAATTGATGGCTAGATAGACGATGGGCAGCTGCATAGATAACTGATGGGATAAAAGAATGGCTAGATGGATGACTGCGGGACGGATGGAAATCTAGATGGATGGATGGCTAGATCGATGATGAATGACTGAATGGAGGACTGGCGAATGCGTGGATGAACTGCAGCATGATTAAAGGCTGTCTTCTATGGAAGAATTGTTGGATGGACGAATAGATGGGAGGGTTGAGTGAGCGCTAAATTGCTAGATGGAAGGCTGGTTGACTGGATGGGCGAAGGATTTGGGTTCCTGGTTGGGTTCCTGGATATGAATGGATACGAAGGATTTGGGTTCCTGGATATGAATGGGTTCCTGGTTGGATTGGCGGATGGCCAGATAAATGGATGACTTCTTGGATTTATCAACCGATGGCTAAAGGTATGGTGGCTTGATGGATGATCGCTACTTGAGAGACATACTAGTTGGTAGGAGGGCTAAATCGATGAATGGCTTGTTGGATGGATGGATGGATGGATGGATGGCTGGCTGATCTGAGAACACCGAGGAGGATCTTAGCAGTCAAAAACAGAGGCCACATCTGCAACCTCTAGGAGAAACTTTATATCTCTAAGCCATAGGGTCATAAATTTCAAAACTTGAAACAAAAAAAATAAATCTGAGATTTTTCAAAATTTTGAAAAAAAAAGTCAAATCTTGGATACTAAAAAAGACTTCAGCAATCATACAAATGAACGCCATATCTGCCACTGCTGGGAGTACCCTGACATCATACCACCAAAGGGTCGACAATTTGAAACGCCACCTTTCGGAAAAAAAGACGCGTTGAGCTGTCAGTTTTAGTAAGACCGGCAAATCCTGTGAAAACCCTGACAGCACCCAACTATAGGGTTTTGAATTTCAAACTTTGACTAGTGTTTTTAAATCTAAGTTTTTTATCAAAAATTTCAAAAAAAAAACTTTTTAAAAAGTTAGATAAGGATTTGAGCAGGCATAATTGGAGTCAAGATTTGCACCTCCTGAGAGCAACCCACTACAGAGTTGCAATTTTTAATTTTGTGAAGTTTTTTAAATCTTAGTTTTTGAAGAGTTTTCAAAAAACATAGGAAACGTTATATCTCGGAAACTAAAAAAAGATTTGAGCAGGCAGAATTGGATGCAGGATTTGCAACTCCTGAGAGCACCCAGACAGCACCCCACTATAGGGTTGGATCTTTCAAATTTTGTGAGACTTGAAATCTACATACTGACAACTTTTAAATTATCTCAAACTTATCGAACGAAAAACGCTCATTACATAATCTATTGGATGAATTCCACTTTTACAGCACCCTACACAGCGCACCCTTCCTCTTCCCCTCATGGTGACATCATAGCTATGGACTTATACTTTGGCCTTTCAATAGGCCTAGCATTTACAAACTAGAAAATCGAAAAACAAATTCTTAAGCCTAGTAATACACGATATAGCTGAAACGTGTAAAAATCTTTCGTTAAACATGTAAAATTTAAAAAGCTTAAACATGGCGAGATACGTGTCACACACACTTAAATATCGTATAGATAGGGATATAGATAGATAGATAGATAAAAACAGATAGATTTGTGCTGACCATAACTCCAATTGCGACAAATCAAAAAACTATAGAGTTAGGTATAAAAACTTGCAAAATCCAATTTTGGGAAACTATTAAAACCGTCCAATTTAAAATACATCACTTTAAGTGAAGGGCTAGCATTAAGCTATAAGGTCATCGGGCAACCGGAACAAATGATTCAGAAAAAGTACATAATGTGGAACTACAAAAGCTCAAATAAGTATTATGTCAAGCTTTATATCCTAAATATTTGCCAATTTTCAAACTCAATTCAACCAATACAATAGCGTAAACTTAACAATACTTTTTCTTTAGCTTTTCCATTTTTTGAGAATTTTCTGCTATTTTCTTGCGTTCTGAGATTAGTTAGGTACAGGTTAAATCAGGTTCACGTGTGGCAGGACTAGCAAGATCATACCCTGCTGTAAAAAAGTCAGAAAACCTGAAACTCTTGACACAAAACACTAAAATAAAAAATTTCAAACCCGAACCAAAGCTGAATGGACTCAAATGTGATACCACATCAATGGACATTCGCGAACGTTTCTTGGTATGGCGGAAAAAAATGTTCTAAAATAACACCGAGAAGCGACCCTTTGGGTGGTCAGGGATTCGAATCCCTTATGAGGCGCTGCGGTTTCACGTCCTCAACTCCAAAATCCGCTACTTTAACACAATCCGCGACTTAACACAAAAAAGGTTCTATCTCTCACCATCGACAATCAGCTGTATCTTCGATGTTAAATCGGTTACTTCCAACCATTTCAAGGTTACTTTATTTTGATTTAACACACATTCAACCCAAAAACGATGTTAGTATAATTTCCGTGCCTTTTCAAGGTAAAAGGGCCATTCAACATATCAAAACTGAATCGAAAACCCAGAAGTCACACAAAGCATCAATACATATGCTAATAAAATGCCAATGCCATTCAGTAAAAGTGGCACCAAATACAAATAGACACAACTTTGCGGATAATAATTGGGAATATAACAAACTGAAGGCATCCACACTAACTTTGCATATAACAAATCGCAACGCATAAAGCTACAATATGTATAAATTATGCATTACGAATACTGCGAGGTATATTGAGTTGGAAAATTTCTGAAATCGAGTTTTCATTATTGTTGTGATAAAGCACATGCTATCAAAAAGCTGTGAAGGTGCCCGAAAAGTGGCACCAATATTTGCGACTTAGATAAGAAAAAAAAGAAGGTTCCTAGTAATACACTAAGCTGACGCTAGTATAAAAATGTATGAGCTGTGTTAACTTATTACTATTCGAATGTCAAAGAACATGCTATCCAAAAGCTGTATTGGTGCCCCAAAGTTGTTACCAATATTTGCTACTTAGTTTAGGAAAAAATAAGGCTCTTAAAAATACAGTCAGCTGACGGTAGTGTAAAAACAGAAAAGAATAGACGGTTGCTGTGCAAATACCACAAGGTTCCTACAAAACTGAGTGAAAAAAAACAATATAAGGGAAAAATTGTTTTTTTTTTTTGCAAAAAGCAACTGAATTATTTGAAAACATAGCAAACAGACCGTTGGAAAGGAGTCGAACGTAAGGAAACAAAGAAAATTTTGCAGACAATATATGCTTTCAAAGTCTTTTAAAATATATTCTTTTTCTGCTGAATCAAACTCAATTGAAGAAAATTGGATCAAAACGTAAAGTTTTTTTCGCTGGATTTAGAAGCCGATACGTTTCTCGTAACTTTTAATTTTTTGCTGTTCAATAGTGGAGTTTGCCTTCCTTTAACAACGGAAATGAAGTTAAAAAAAAGAAGTTTAATCGCATACATCTAATCTAATGTTTCATCTAATTTCAGCGCGAAAAATTTCAAGAACTTCCTGAAAAAAAAAGCAACATAGACAACAGACAGTTACAAAATTGTCATGAACGCAAGGAAACCGACCAAAAACTGCAAGTCTCAAAACTTTTTTCTGAAAAATTGGACCAGTTTTTCTCGACACAGAGACGATTCTTTTGATTTTTTGGAAAGCGAATCACGGCTTAAATGGCTCTTTTGTGATAACTTGATGACTTACTTAGCCTTTCTGAGATGTAGTCCAAATGGGTCGGAGAAAAACACCATCCCAGAGTTCCTTTCCACCCCTTTTTGTTGGATCGTAACAAAAAAATTGATTTTAACTGAAAATCTTTAAAAAATTCGATGGCGAGGGCTCTTTTAAAACTTTTAGAGTTTACGACCTTTACGTCTCCATTGACCTTTATCGCATTCACAGATAGTGATTACATCATTTCTCAACGTCACCATGTGAAGAAAACTTATGCTACTGAACAATTTGCCTTTATTGCGCACGACAAAAAAACTCGTGCCGTATACCCTTTGCTATCGTTAACATTTTGCTAGAGTTATATGGCTTCTGACAGTAATTACTTGATTTGTAATTTGCACTAAATATCCTGTCTATGGTCATCTGAGATACCCGATTTTGGAATTCGCTGCCTAATTTCTCTTTAACAACTTACCTTCCTACCGCAGGCCTGAACAATAGCCCTACCCATATATAAAAAACATGTTCAAAACTGGCTGAAAGAAAACTGACAAAGGAAAACGGAAAATTACGATAACGAGAGTAGCTGGTTGCTCTGCCAATACCACAAAATGCTCTGAGCATACAAAATAATGATAAAATTAAACACGAGGAAGCGGACAGAAGGTACTTCGTTGAAAACCATAAAAGTCTCCAATGATGTTCAATTTTGAAGAAAATAGGTCGAAAAACACAATCACCAGCGTTAAATAAGCATTCAGAAACATTTTAAATCTGCAACCAAGGCGACAATTCTCGGGTTCACGGTAGCCAGGCACCCACCTAAAAGGATAACATTCAATTTTTATTTCAAAGAACGCAATATTAAGTGACTAAGCCGGTATAACATCAATAACTAGGCAGAGAAACAATTGGCCTACATTACTTTTTCAAACAAAAAATTTTCGTCCGCAAAAGTAAACAGGCCCTAGCTGTTTTCGAACTCAGGATAATGTCGACCCAGACATCCACAACAATGTTAGGCTAAGTAAGCCGAAGAATATCTGGAATTTGAATTTATATAGCCAACAGAGTTGAAAAAGAGCCATTAAAGCAATATTAAACTTTCAAGTTTCGGGGAAAAAAACATATGTGGCCTTAAAACTCTTTGAATTTCAAGAACAATTCATGGTTGACACATTTGTCATTAAAAACACAATTTGAGAAAACTCGATCAATAAGTAAATTTTCTCTACTGAGAAATCTGCAAATTAAAATCCATTTTCGAACTAGAAAATGATCAGGTTTTTCGTGACATTTACACTCTCGCTGTTCGATTGTGGAGTTTGCCTTCCTTTTAACAAAAAAAATGAATTGAAATGAATTAAAAGTCAAAACACGAAAAATCGCATTTCAGCGTGAACAAACTTAAAGACTTTTTACTCAAAAAAAATAATAAGGGCATTCACTACGTTCTAAATGATTCTATGATTCTGCTAGACGAAATCAGCAGTGGAAGCAAGACAAAATGGAAAGCAGAGTCTATGCTGCGATTTGCTATGACACCGCTTGCTAATCGCAAGGGTGAACAAAAAATTTAGAAATGCACAATTTTTTGTTAAATTTTTGTTTCTTTCCTGGGTAGGAGAGGGCTGAAAATAAAAAATTTGGGCTTAAACCAGGGTAGCAAAAATCTTATTTTTTGAATGTTTGATTTAATAACGCTAGCTAATCGCAAGCGTAATCAGATTTATAGAATTTTGTCTTGATTTAAATGGTTTTTTCATTCAAAAAAAATTTTGATTCGTAATTCGCTCAGATTTGATAGCGAAATATATTTACTTTAATGAAGACTCGAAAAAAAACATTATTTTTCCATATTTTTTATTCTAAGCTGGTTTCTAAGATTTGAGTGCCTAGAAATAAAGTTGCTTGAAAGGTGTTCCAATTCAGCTGTTGTGGAAACGCAGGAAACGCCTATTTCAATGTGTTTGGCTGAAACTAACAAAGTTAGTCACTTTACTTAGAATGAAAAATGGATGGAGTTTTCAAACCTGCCTAGCTCTACACACTTAAACGTTTTTGGAACGTTTTCCACTTATCTCTAATGAGACCAGAAGTATTTTGATATAACATCAATCCATTTCACTCAAAGTTCAATTGCGGCACCTGGAAAAAAACACCGGAATACATAAATGCTATCCATTGCGCAATCGGAACACAAATGAACCACAAGCCTTTGCTGTCTCACGCAGTTGTGTTACCTGTATGCCAGCTGGGACAGATGGTTGATTAAATTTGAATTTATATTTACCAAGCGGGAACAAAGCCGAAAATACCAGAGCAGAAACCCTTCATGCCGAAAAACTTCTAAGCCAATAAAAAAGTTTTGAGTCCCCTTACCCCTTTTTCGATCGTCAAATCACGCAATAAGAGGCCAATAAGTCCAAATAAGCCGAAACCTATTAAGCCGAAAAATAGTCAAGTATTGAAAAAAAATGAAAATTTATTGAATCGAGCTGGTAAAATTACAATCAGCATAAAAGGCAAATTTCGATTGGCCTGTAATTTAAAAAACTATTATGCTAAAAAAATTGCATTAGGAAGGGCCAGTACATGAATGAGTCCAGGAGATGAGTCCTGTGAACAAAGCTATTTACGGGAAAAAAGTCTAGAAGTCTAGTACCCGATTGCAATACCGTTGCTTATCGCAAGGATGATGAGTACATGAAAACAATAATTTAGCGAAAAAATTTTTTGATTTTAAAATAACATTGATAAAGAATTTAGCGTTTCGAACCGAACAAGTTTTGAGACCACGTTGTTTTTTTTGGCACTGACTTCTGTGCGCTTGACTGTTGCTGAAGAGCTAGTTGTCTTTGTCTGAACGTCTCCAGAGGGTCGGATTCATTAGCATACGCCTTCAGGAATGTTCTGACGTCCGAACACCGAGTAGTCTCTATAGCTTTCAGAAACATTGCCAGATCAAAGAGTCCTCTATCGGCTAAATTTCCATCCCATGGCGGGAGAACAAGAGCATTCTGTGGATTTGGGTTGACTTTATTTTGACTGGTGTCCAAAATTATCACACGCGAATGATCCCTATTAATTCTAGAAATATCTTTAGTATACACGTTGTTTTTGTAATGCGTTGAATCTCTAAATAACGAGTACATGATTACACCTTTACTATTAAGTGACTCTACAACAGGCATAGCCATAAATCCTGGTTCAGAGGTAAAAATTACAACCTCGTACGAATGACTTGCAATTGTCTCTAGCAAAAAATCGATTCCAGGACGTTTACGAAATCTCCATCCGGTTTCAAAACTCCATTCCGGGTGAACTAGGAGATCTTTGAGTTCTATTAGAACGGTATATTTTGGCTGAATATAAGGCTTCTGTAATGGATCAGGTAGTAGCTTCTTTCTGGAAGGTTCTTCGAATTCTCGCACATCAGATCTGATATTTTTCCATGCTCGTCGAAAAGTACTCATGGATTGTCCGGTGAATTCGTCTTCGAATACCACTCCCGTTACAGAATCTACCTCAGGTTTTCCGTACTTTTCAGCTATTAGATAAACTGCCCCTGTTCCCATTAAGAAAACTGCTGGCAGAGTCAATTTTCGAAGCTTGTCGTTCCGCTCGCGTTTTGATTGCTTTTCTCGCTCATATTTCTCGTGAATATTCTTCAGATGGATTTCAGTTTCAGATGGTTTCGCACAAAAAGAGCGCTCGCTGGAAATAACAACGGGTGTTTTAAACTCAGAACGCAAGCTACAAATTTTGGATGTGTGCAAATTAATCATCGGCCCTGTCGAGCGACGAGCAAGAAAAACAAAAGCTGTCATTTCAAACCTTAAAAAATAACTACATGACTCGCGCCTATGGTGCTTAAATAGATCGTTGACCGTACAAGAGCTTCCTAAAAAAAGTACTAAAACAAAAACATTTAATGCAACCGTCAGGGTGGCCACTGTGTTTGAGAAATCGCATGCACTTAAGGCATTGATACTCGCACTGATAAAAATACATGCAATGCACTGACAATTTTGAAAAAATAGCCTTTTTGTGGCTTTGTGACCTAAATTTTTTGACCAAACTAATTTTTTCTTATCAGGGCTGCTCATACCTGAAAAAAAAACTTCTCCTGTGTAAACCTGCTTCGATCTTTGATTTTGAACGATTCAGTAAAGAACCGCGATGAAAAAACTGACATTGATTTTTATTTGCTGGCACTGACAGATCAAGCTTAGCACTGATTTGGCACTGACAGCACTAGTACCGTGGCCACCCTGACCGTGTAAATAAGTTGGTTTCATAAAAACGCCATAATTGGAAAACCAAAATGATTTGAGCAGATAAAATTAGAGAGCAATTTGCTACCCTGTAATGTTCTCTGACCGCATCCCAACATAGGGTTAAGAACTCCAATTTCGATTACTTAGTTCTGTTAAATCATAAAAAAACACCACAAAATGGATAGCAAAAGAATTTCAGCAGTCACATTGGGAGGAAAAATTGCAACACATGAGTGTACCCTGACAGCACACCACTATAGTTTTGAGAGTTCCCTTACTTTTTTATATCCAAGTTGTTTGGAAAAAATGCAATTATAAAAAGCACCTTATCACAAAAACCAAAACAATTTGAGCACCCATACATGCCTTCCAGATTTGCAACCCTGAAGCCCTGAAATTACCCTAACAGCTCTCCACAATAGTGTTGAGAATTTCAAGTTTGATTAATTTTTTTATATCTAAGTTTTTCGAAAAATTATTTAAAAAATCAAACAAAACGCCATATCTCGAAAAAAGATTTTGGCAGTCATAATTGGACGCAAAACTTGCAACCCCTCAGTGTACCCCGACATCGCCCCATTATTGGATTGAGAATTTCAAGTTCGGTCAGTTTCTCATTTTTTTTTTAAACAATTTTTAAAAAAAATCATTTAAAACGCCAAATCTCGAAAACCATAAAGATTTGACCAGTCATATTTGGATTACAGATTTGCCACCCCCGAGTGCTGAGTGTTTTACGACAGCGCCACATTATAGGGTTGAGAAATTAAAGTTCGATTAATTGAGAAGATCGATTACTTTTTTACATCTAATTTTTTCGAAAATCAAAAAAATCATTAAAAAACGCCATATCTTGAAAGCCAAAATGATTTGAGCAGTCATACTTGGATGCCAGATTTGCATGCCCTGAGTGTACCCTAACAGTGCCCCACTATAGGGTTGAGAATTTCAAGTTCGGTTTTTTTGTATCTAAGTTTTTTGAAAAAGTATTGAAAAAATCATACAAAACGCCATATCTCGAAAACCAAAAGAATAAGAGCAGTCAAACTTAAACGCCAAACTTGCAACCCCTGAGTGTACCCTGACAGCACCCCACTATAGGGTTGATAGCTTCATATTTAGTTTAATTGTGTACCAAAAATTTTGATAGTTTAACGTTGCGAATATGGGAAAAATATAGAGTTAAAGAATTCGCACTCCAACAGATTTTAAAACGTCGAATTGAGTAACCATTTCAACCCTTGCAATGATTTGGTCTTTTAGCAGGTCAACATAGCGACTTCTTAAACATGTGCCGAGTGAAATTTCATAAGCGTTACAATATACGATGTAGCTTAAACGTGCGAAAATGCTGTCGTTAATCATGCAAAAAACATTACGGTGAAAAATCTCTAACAAGTCAACATAGGGACTTCTTAAACAGGTGTCAAGTGAAGCGCCAATTAAATAACCAATAGATAGATAGATAACGCATCGACATAGTATAATTTTGAGTACGTTTCAATTCATACAAAAAACTGATGAGAAAAACAAAGATGAAATAACATCATCAGACCTACACAACTGTTTCAGTTCAATGTTAGCGACCTCCTACATTCCGCGAGTACAGAATTCTCTTTCGCCGCGAACTGCAATCAGAAACAGATGAAACCAAATCCAAAACAACATTGGCATCACATATCTTGCACTACCAATTCATTGATTTCCCAATCCTCGTAACTTCCATCAGGTAAATATCTTCTGATAATTATAGGAATTTTACGCGCTTTCAGTTCCTTGAGGGCAATTTGCAGAGGGTCAGTTTCTCCTTCTAACTCAACCATTACGGGGGCGCACATGCTAATCTGCAGAGCACGGGTACCCAAAATTCTAGCACGCTCATACTTAGTCATAAAAGGTGTTGTTATTCTTTTATCTTTCGGAACTGCTTGGCCGCCAGAAGATGGATTGATCAGCGCAAACGTATCACCTCCAAGGTCACCTTGTCCACCATCTTCCATATTACCTCTTTGAGTACCGTCCTCATCAGCCACAATGTCTGCTCCCCCAATTACATCGTCGTCTCCTCCCCCTACTTCTTCATACTCATCATCAAAATCGCGGTCTTCTTCCATTTCAGTCACGCTGAACTTCGAGTCTTTATGACGGAAACTTGACAAAAACTCAAAGATGATCTAAAATAAAAGACCACGTAATTCAAAATTATGCAAACAATTATTATCTTGAACACAGAGTCGGAGCGAAGCTTCGCACAAATTGCGATCACACATAGCATGACCGAAAATGACAAGTAAAAAATGAAACCGTTAGATCCATCAAGAACTTTATATCACAATTTATCTCGAATGAGACAAATTTCGATGTAATCATGCAAAGAAAAAATTCCAGAATGAAATGAGCATTAAAAAACCTTACAAACGCAAACAAAGCCGAAGATTTTAGTGTAGATCCGGAAAAGGATGCCATAAGAAATGCTGTAGAGAAAAATTTGAACAAACAAAGGTACATTTGTTTGTTCAAATTGCAAACATTGCAACACTTGCAAAACAATTGCAACACTTGCAAAACAAAACAAAATAAAATTGCAACACTTGCAAAACAAAACAAAATAAAATAGCTGGCAAAACATTTCAACTAAAAAAGTTTATAAAAAAACAACAAGTACAAAAATTATTTCAACTCAGGCGAACTCTGATATACTAAATTTGCTGAATTCCTTTGAAAATGTTTAACATCAAACAGATCATTCTTTTGAAAAAATGGGGTCAATTAAAATGGCCCCTTCCCTCATGCGAATGACCGTTCACAGGTTGGATAGGGCTATAACAACGCTATATAAAAAATCGACAAAATTTATGAATAAATCAAGTCGATTATAAAACATCCAGAGAATTGTCATGTAAATCTATCCTCCTCGATTATAGCACAGATAAAATCGTCTATGTTGGATGCATTTTTAAGTTTTTTGCACCCCCTGAGGCCATCTAAAATATTGCCAAATTAGCAACCTGAATGCTGTTTAACTTTCAGCATCCACATAAACGATAAGCGGATTATTGTCTGCTGTTTTTACAATCCACCTTCGAGCAGCAAATATCGCTAGTCTAGGCAATTTCGCACAAATTTTAAATGAAATCGGGAAATCAAATCAATCAACTGCAACACTTATTTGCGGAGATGCAAATTTTCCAAATGCAAACTGGATTGACTATAGTAGCACCGAAAATAAAGAAAACTCAATAATAGAACTAATCGAGCAACATCAATTCGAGCAGGCAATAGATTTTTCCACTTGTGGCAATAACCCTTGACATTACATTATTCAAAAATTGTCACATTCATGCGACTCCTGACGAAAATTTCTCAAAAATTTACAATTGCTCCGACCACAAAGCCATGAGGTAAAAGTCGCTATTGAAAACTTTCGAAGCTTTGGTAGAGTGGACTATAACCAAATCTTTTGAGAATGCGCTAAAATTGTGAATTCAAACAAACGTTTTCGCACATTTTGTGCACCTTCCGGTTTTAAAAACTCTAAACTATCTGTACAAAATGATCAAAGATCATAAAAAGTGTCACACATATCATTACTTCAAAATTTTCAAAATTCAACCAATCGAAACTTTACAAATATCACTGAAATTATGTAGCAACTATTATGTAACATTTTAAAACATTTTGTCACTAATTTCTGAGAGTTTTCTTCATTTTTATTTCCACATTTCCGTTTTGTGGCTAATTTTTATGCTAACATGTAAGTTGATTCAAAATTTTGTTATTTTAGCCAGAATTTTTTGATTCTGGAACTATAGCCTTAGTGTCAGCTCCCTACTTCTAAACTCGTCGCGCGTGTTAATTGCCGGTCTCTCTTTCCTAATGTGCAGCGCCTCTAATGTAAGTAACTTGATGCTGCTGGACGCCTGCTCGATTATTTTCCAATTAAACTCAGACTTACCACGCTCACTACCACAATGCCTTATATGCTGTCCAACTGGGGTATCCTCTTTTCGGTGTTCCTCAATCCTTGTGGTGAGATGTCGGACCGTCTGGCCAACATAGATGGATTTGCACCCACAACATTCAAGTCTGTACACCACTTTTGATTTCAGTTCACTGGAAAAGGAGGGTTTTAGAGAGGGCATACAAGTTTTCAATTTCCTCGTCGTGAATATTATCAGCGCATTGGTGATATCGCGCACTTTTTTTGCTAATGTCTGACTGTGATTCCCCCTATATTGGACCATCAAGATGGGTGGTGAATCACTGCTATAATCACAGGGCTTCTTTTTTTTCAGCCATGTTCTTTTTGTTTTTGCCCTCGCTGATGATCTTTTCAAGGGCGTGGGATGCAACCCGCGACGACCAACTTTCCGGATATTGGTTATCCAACCACTGCTCACGGTTGATTTTCATGGCTTTATCATATTCTTCCCATGTTGACGTACTGCGGAAAAACCGGTGAACAGTTCCTTCAATCACACTTCTCTTGCACTGAAGGGGGGCGCAGCTTCTAAAATTGAGTATGGTACCTGTATCTGTTGGCTTTTGATACCACCCACAGCTAATTTTCCTGCTTTTGTCAATACTAATTTGTAAACCCAAAAATGCCAAAGTTCCGTTTGTGTTTGGTGTCTCTATTGTGAACTGTAAATTTGGATGTAGTAAGTTTGCAGCCCGTAGCACTTTTTCAGGATCACCCTTCACATCTCACTATATCATCAACGTAACGGAGAAACAATTTAGATTGTTGCCCTGATTTATTTTCTCCCTTATTGCGATGCATTTTCTGCAGTACCAGACGGTTTCACTTATATTTCGATACTCATCATCTGATATATCACCGCATTTTACGTGATACCAGTTCAAACAGCATTCACATTCTACACCTTTTGACCTGTACGTGACTTTCTTATTGCACTCGGGACATATTCCGTGAAGATCTTTCTCGGGCAAAAACATTTCGGGAATATCCCTTGATAGTGCAGTTTCGTACTGCTTCAGCCAAAGATTTGCTAAAATAACGTCAAGAGATGCCCCCATTGCTAAACCATCTTTCTGAACGTACCATGTTTCATTGCACTTGGAATGGTTTTGACTAACTGCCATGTCTCTTCATGTTTTTCCTAGCAATTGAGGGTGGTTCATCTTGCTCATACAGTTTTCTCTGAGCTATGTCTATTGCTTCTTTCAGTGGAACATTTGTGTACAAACTCTTCACATCTAGAGATATCAAGTTTTCATTGGGCTCAAGATTAGTGCTCTCTAAGATTTCTCTCGCATCTAGTGAGTTGGTTTCGATGTTTGCGCCCTCAATTTTCTCAAAAAGTTTAGCAAGAACCTTGTTCAAGTTATAATAAGAGCTACCAGGCAAGGAGAGGACCGGTCTTGATGGGGTATTTACTTTATGCACTTTCGCCAACCCATGAAGCCTGGCGGGCTGCCCCCCAGTAGACCTCATCCTTGTGTAGAGACTCTCACTTATTTCTTCTTTTTTCCTCATAGCCAACAACTCCTTATTGATGTCTCTTTCTATCTTCAAAACAATCGCATCACCTGTTCCTGTACTTTTGCTGAATTGATTTGAATCTAATGTATCCGACAACTTGTTCTCGTAGGTGTCCTTTCTCATTACACAAAAACCCACGCCTTTGTCATACGGTACCGCAACTAATCCATTACTCTTCAGATACTTTCGGGCCTTCTCAACGCCTTTGTCAGATGGTGTTTGTGTCACCCTCTTAGCATAGGCTTTTGCCACAGCTTCGATCTCACAAAGGGCCTCCCCGGGGATTTTACAATTTTTGAGATCCGATAGAAAGATGTCAATGTAGGCGAGAAAGTGTGTCTCATTAAATTTATCCCTGAAGGGATGCTTTGGCCCTAATGCCAACACTTGTTGTACCCAATTTGGTAATTCAACATCATCAAGAGCTCTTACCGAACCCTCACCTTGCTTCCCTAGAGGTCGGTCTTGCCTTTCTGATAGTTTCATTAGCTTCTTCTGATGGGTCTCTTTGACTGTTGCGGTTTTTCTTTGTCCCCTAAGACTTAAATATTTAATAACCGAAGGCCAAAACTTCTCATCTACACCCCTCTGTACTGCGCCTCTCGCCCTTTCTAGTTTGACTTCAACGTTTTTCTCATCTGTCCTTGCCTTGTTTATCTCCGTTCTTAGAAGTTTTGTCTGAAAACTGTGTACCGCTTGGTTCGAAAACACCCCATTTTCCGGAACCCTGAACCTCAAAAAATCAAGTATAATGTCGTTTTCTAGACAAACTCTCAAAAGTTTAACACGTTGGTGACAGTTGATAAATTTAACATATATGGACGCATAATCACGGACTAATTTCCAAATGAGTTTGTTTTTCGAAGTCCAAATCAAGAATGGAGGTGGAAGTACAACTGTGCTCATTGGTTTGCAGGCCACGAGGAATAAACCTCACGTGACACAAAGCAACTCAAATAAAACAAGTTTAACTCACTTTCTCCGTTGAAGACGCCTATGTTCACCAGTCTTCTTTTCTCCGTCCTCCTTCTCGATTGAGATTTCTTTTTCGTGTTTGAACGAAGCTCAAAGACTTTAGCTCCAGCTGGAAGTCCTGGTGCAGTGCCTGATATTCGTTGAACAGCTCCGTTCCTCTCTTCCTCTTTGAAATGAGACACTTTGTAATAGGAATGACAAGAATACCCGAGCTGATCAGCTGGTTCCTGATATCCGGTGTACCGTTTCTCTGACAGTATACAATTGCGCTGATATTTGTCAGTGTCTTCAGGATTTCTGTCAATTCCTCTGCAGTGCAAGCTCTGAAATTGTTGGTGCGGTGGCTGTTGATAGAATTATTGATGATGTCATGCCACACCACCATTTGACGTTTTTCTGCTAGAGGTGCCCTGCAGAGTAGGCTTGCGAGGTTCTTCTGTGGGTTCGTGGTGTTCGGGTTTAAAGAAAGTCCCGGAATAGCCAAAATTTTGGGTAGAAATCGTTCTTTTTTCTGGGTTGCTAAGTTGTTCCAGGCTGTGGTAGAGTGAGATATCTGCTACAATGTAGACCATTTCAATTCTAACATGGTAAAATATAAAAAGATTTTTCAACTAAAAAGATTTCTCCACTAAA